CCGCGTAACATAATACCGATGATGTCACCAGATAGAGGACACTTTAACGGACACGACAGTATATATATCATGTACCTGGGGGATAAGGAAGGGGAGGTAAAGTCAGCAATAAGTAGAGCGCGCGCCCGAAAAATCTATTGCTCGCCAATTTGCGGCAAAATACGGCCGCGTAACATAATACCGATGATGTCACCAGATAGAGGACACTTTAACGGACACGACAGTATCATTATCATGTACCTAAGGGATAAGGAAGGGGGGGTAAAGTCAGCAATAAGTAGAGCGCGCGCCCAAAAAATCTATTGCTGGCCGATTTGCGGATAAATACGGCCGCGTAACATAATACCGATGATGTCACCATATAGAGGACACTTTAACGGACACGACAGTATCAATATCATGTACCTGGGGGATAAGGAAGGGGAGGTAAAGTCAGCAATAAGTAGAGCGCGCGCCCGAAAAATCTATTGCTGGCCGATTTGCGGATAAATACGGCCGCGTAACATAATACCGATGATGTCACCAGATAGAGGACACTTTAACGGACACGACAGTATATATATCATGTACCTGGGGGATAAGGAAGGGGAGGTAAAGTCAGCAATAAGTAGAGCGCGCGCCCGAAAAATCTATTGCTCGCCGATTTGCGGCAAAATACGGCCGCGTAACATAATACCGATGATGTCACCAGATAGAGGACACTTTAACGGACACGACAGTATCATTATCATGTACCTAAGGGATAAGGAAGGGGGGGTAAAGTCAGCAATAAGTAGAGCGCGCGCCCAAAAAATCTATTGCTGGCCGATTTGCGGATAAATACGGCCGCGTAACATAATACCGATGATGTCACCAGATAGAGGACACTTTAACGGACACGTCAGTATCAATATCATGTACCTGAGGGATAAGAAAGGGGGGGGGGTAAAGTCAGCAATAAGTAGTGGGCGCGCCCGAAAAATCTATTGCTCGCCGATTTGCGGCAAAATACGGCCGGGTATCATAATACCGATGATATCACCAGATAGAGGACACTTTAACGGACACGACAGTATCAATATCATGTACCTGGCGGATAAGAACGCGCGCGCTACTTATTGCTGACTTTATCCCCTCTTTCTTATCCGCCAGGTACATGATATTGATACTGTCGTGTCCGTTAAAGTGTCCTCTATCTGGTGACATCATCGGTATTATGTTACGCGGCCGTATTTTGCCGCAAATCGGCGAGCAATCGATTTTTCGGGCGCGCGCTCTACTTATTGCTGACTTTACCTCCTCTTCCTTATCCCCCAGGTACATGATATTGATACTGTCGTGTCCGTTAAAGTGTCCTCTATCTGGTGACATCATCGGTATTATGTTACGCGGCCGTATTTTGCCGCAAATCGGCGAGCAAGAGATTTTTCGGGCGCGCGCTCTACTTATTGCTGACTTTGCCTCCCCTTCCTTATCCCCCAGGTACATGATATTGATACTGGCGTGTCCGTTAAAGTGTCCTCTATCTGGTGACATCATCGGTATTATGTTACGCGGCCGTATTTTGCCGCAAATCGGCGAGCAATAGATTTTTCGGGCGCGCGCTCTACTTATTGCTGACTTTACCCCCCTTCCTTATCCCCCAGGTACATGATATTGATACTGTCGTGTCCGTTAAAGTGTCCTCTATCTGGTGACATCATCGGTATTATGTTACGCGGCCGTATTTTGCCGGAAATCGGCCAGCAATAGATTTTTCGGGCGCACGCTCTACTTATTGCTGACTTTACCTCCTCTTCCTTATCCCCCAGGTACATGATATTGATACTGTCGTGTCCGTTAAAGTGTCCTCTATCTGGTGACATCATCGGTATTATGTTACGCGGCCGTATTTTGACGGAAATCGGCGAGCAATAGATTTTTCGGGCGCGCGCTCTACTTATTGCTGACTTTACCTCCTCTTCCTTATCCCCCAGGTACATGATATTGATACTGTCGTGTCCGTTAAAGTGTCCTCTATCTGGTGACATCATCGGTATTATGTTACGCGGCCGTATTTTGCCGCAAATCGGCGAGCAATAGATTTTTCGGGCGCGCGCTCTACTTATTGCTGACTTTGCCTCCCCTTCCTTATCCCCCAGGTACATGATATTGATACTGGCGTGTCCGTTAAAGTGTCCTCTATCTGGTGACATCATCGGTATTATGTTACGCGGCCGTATTTTGCCGCAAATCGGCGAGCAATAGATTTTTCGGGCGCGCGCTCTACTTATTGCTGACTTTGCCTCCCCTTCCTTATCCCCCAGGTACATGATATTGATACTGTCGTGTCCGTTAAAGTGTCCTCTATCTGGTGACATCATCGGTATTATGTTACGCGGCCGTATTTTGCCGCAAATCGGCCAGCAATAGATTTTTGAGGGCGCGCGCTCTACTTATTGCTGACTTTACCCCCCCTTCCTTATCCCCCAGGTACATGATATTGATACTGTCGTGTCCGTTAAAGTGTCCTCTATCTGGTGACATCATCGGTATTATGTTACGCGGCCGTATTTTGCCGCAAATCGGCCAGCAATAGATTTTTGAGGGCGCGCGAACTACTTATGGCTGGAGTTATTGCCAGGTTCACACAAGTTTCTACACGTATGTTAAATTTGGTAACGATTAAAAAATATTTATCAGTTATACCTTCGTTCCAAGTTTCATGTAAATAGTTTAATTCTAAGTACCTTTTTTAGGCGATTGACCCGGGTCAACAAAATAAAATGGGCTATTTTGGCTGGTTTTTAGTTAATAAAATAGATAAATATTTTTTAATCGTTACCAAATTTAACATACGTGTAGAATACATATGGATATACCTTTGTTCCAAGTTTCATGTATATAGTTTAATTCTAAGTACTTTTTTTAGGCGATTGACCCGGGTCAACAAAATAAAATGAGCTATTTTGGCCGGTTTTTAGTTAATGAAATAGATACCTAAATATTTTTTAATTGTTACCAAATTTAACATACGTGTAGAATACATGTGGATATACCTTCTTTCCAAGTTTCATGTATATAGTTTAATTCTAAGTACCTTTTTTAGGCGATTGACCCGGGTCAACAAAATAAAATGAGCTATTTTGGCCGGTTTTTAGTTAATGAAATAGATACCTAAATATTTTTTAATTGTTACCAAATTTAACATACGTGTAGAATACACATGTGGATATACCTTCTTTCCAAGTTTCATGTATATAGTTTAATTCTAAGTACTTCTTTTAGGCGATTGACCCGGGTCAACAAAATAAAATGAGCTATTTTGGCCGGTTTTTAGTTAATAAAATAGATAAATATTTATTTATCGTTACCAAATTTAACATACGTGTAGAATACATGTGGATATACCTTCTTTCCAAGTTTCATGTATATAGTTTAATTCTAAGTACCTTTTTTAGGCGATTTACCCGGGTCAACAAAATAAAATGAGCTATTTTGGCTGGTTTTTAGTTAATAAAATAGATAAATAGGTATTTATTTATCGTTACCAAATTTAACATACGTGTAGAATACATGTGGATATACCTTCGTTCCAAGTTTCATGTATATAGTTTAATTCTAAGTACCTTTTTTAGGCGATTGACCCAGGTCAACAAAATAAAATGAGCTATTTTGGCCGGTTTTTAGTTAATGAAATAGATAAATATTTTTTAATTGTTACCAAATTTAACATACGTGTAGAATACATATGGATATACCTTCGTTCCAAGTTTCATGTAGTTTAATTCTAAGTACTTTTTTTAGGCGATTGACCCGGGTCAACAAAATAAAATGAGCTATTTTGGCCGGTTTTTAGTTAATAAAATAGATAAATATTTATTTATCGTTACCAAATTTAACATACGTGTAGAATACATGTGGATATACCTTCTTTCCAAGTTTCATGTATATAGTTTAATTCTAAGTACCTTTTTTAGGCGATTGACCCGGGTCAACAAAATAAAATGAGCTATTTTGGCCGGTTTTTAGTTAATGAAATAGATACCTAAATATTTTTTAATTGTTACCAAATTTAACATACGTGTAGAATACATGTGGATATACCTTCTTTCCAAGTTTCATGTATATAGTTTAATTCTAAGTACCTTTTTTTAGGCGATTGACCCGGGTCAACAAAATAAAATGAGCTATTTTGGCCGGTTTTTAGTTAATAAAATAGGTAGGTAAATATTTTGTTATCGTTACCAAATTTTACATACGAGTAGAATACATGTGGATATACCTTCGTTCCAAGTTTCATGTAAATTTCTACATTCAAAGTGGTTTTTTTTTCTAAATATATTGCATTTGTTGACCCGGGTCAACAAAATAGGGAGTCCCACTGAAAACAGCCTATTGTGATACTTTCCCTCCAAGTTGTTTTTTTGTAAAATTCATTTACCACCTAACAACAAGATGTTCATGTGATGCATAGAGTATGTAAAACAGAAATTATAGGAAGGTCTTCAAAATTTAATGTTTTGCTTTCCTATGCATTTTAATGGTAAAATTTTGAACCGTAAGTGGATTTGGGCGAGACTATACTAAGCCAAAAAACAGTAAGGCAGAAATACTATTCCAGAAAGCCGTAACTGTTTTTTGCTTACTGTTTTCTGGCCAAGTAAACCAAAGTTACGGTGTTTTGACTTAGTATTTGCACATTTGTTGGTAGATACGGTAAATAACTAGTTTGATATCTCAAAAACGGCTTGAGATACGGCGTTTTCGCCTACATTTTTGGATTCCTCGACCTTCAAAACATAAAGATTTGCACTTACCTCGAAATGTGATATTTTTGTAGTTACTGCCTTTTAGCTTACGAGGGCAGTATAGGCCTACAATGAAACTGTCATAGCCTAACCTAACTAACCAAACTTGCTGATGATAATGAAAAAATCGAATGAAGGTTTACTAATCGAATCAATAGTTTCAATCGATATTAGCGTAGCCTGTTAAGAAACTGTTTTGTACCCTAGTCTGACATTAAATAATGTGCTTACCTTCATTCCCAATACTGAAAGGTAAAATTTTGTTGTTTCAGCACGATCAGCAACTTTAAACACAAAATGCAATGCTCTGCCACTTTTTACAACCATTTTCTTTTCACTCTAAAACTGGCAATATAAAGGAAAAATATAGTAATGACTTAAGTTATTCACAATCCTTGAAAGACTCGCGATTTATAAATTTAAAAACTGATCACTTTGTGAATAGTTTTTATGCACACGTTCGGTGAAATTGAATGTTCACCAATTTGTCTCCAGCGACTGAGCTGACGTCAGTAATTGTCGGCTAGGCGTAGAACTGGTAGAAGTTTCCTGTTTTAAGTTACATAAGCAAGCATCCCAAGAAACATTACTCAAATCCAACATCCAACTTGCAGTTGCACTTCGACGAACCACTTGCTAGTTGCTATGCTACAGCAGCAGCAGCAGAAACACAGCAGACAGAAGGTATGATTATGACGTATGACACTGTCCAGTAAGCACTGTTGCCAACCGACCTCTTTGGTTTTCCCCGCGGGAAACGACGGAAATCCTCTTTTTTTCCTCGAAAGGATTCTAAAATTTTTCGCAGAATCCTCGATAGCATCAGTCAATGATATCATCCAAAATTAAAACTAGGTGTACAATGCAGTTGTCTGCTTGCAATATTGAGCGGAGCCAGATAATTCAATGTCAATGATATATTTGGTTCGCATTTAGAATGCCTATTTGCATGAGGTATCCAAAGTCAATCATAAGTCAGAATTAAGTGAATGAATTGTCTACTTGCAGGAACCATATTCTAGTTTCATCCAAGTTTCATCTGGTTCTCATAAATTAAATGTCTACTTGCAGTATCCAATGCCAATGATATATTTGGTTCGCATAAATGGAATGCCTATTTACAGATTCTAAAGTCAATGGTACGTCTGGTTAACGTAGACGGATTGTTTACTTGTAGTATCCAAACTCAATGGTAGGCTACATGTAAATGAATAGTCTACTTGCAGTATCCTAAATCAATGGTCTATTTATTTTTTTCACATAAATAAAATGCCTAATTGCAGTATCCGAAGTCAATGCGCAGAATAAGCTTAAGCTGAATGGTTCTAAGGCCCAAAACCTCTGTACTCTAAAAAAAACATAGTTCCATCGAAGACTCAATGTCAAATTGTTAGGTTTCTGGATGGACAGCCAGCTCTCGTGGGAAGACCATATATCCCACCTTACGACAAGCTATCCATCTTTGTATGTTTTGGCAAGTTTGTTGTATGTAAAAGAAAACATTTCTCACTTTGAAAAGATATCTGATGTGCACAACTATTGTACTAGATCAAAAGATAATCTGTCTACACTAAGGCAAGTATACAGCCACTCAAAATAGTTTTGAGTACCAAGGTGTTAAAATGTACAATTTCTTGCCTGCATCCATAAAAAACCTGTGTGTTTTAAAAACTACGTACTCTAACCCAGGCTTGCCTGTATAAACATGAAGAGTACTTCGGTTTAGAGTTTTGACATTGTTCAGCCAGTACCCAGTACCCTACGTTTTAAACAGTGTTGTACACATAAAGAAAAACTTAAATGATTTTAGCTTCAGGGGTGACCTTCATAGCTGCAACACTCGTGCGGAGCCAAATTGACCTTCCATCCCATCGGCTCAGTAAGACTGCAAATAGTTTCCCCACTCTGGCCATAAAGCTAGTCTCAGTGTTGAGATCAGAGGCCTTACCAGTTAAAGCGTTCGTAGCGCACATGTCTAGGGAGTTGAAGCACGTATATCTAGTGCGGCCTTGCCTTTACTCAACCAGGGAATTTTTTGAAACCCCTGACTCAGTTTAGTCATAGATAAAACATACTCCTTAGTCTATGGTTTAGTGATGATCCACCGCCTTGTATATAGTGTATATAGTCAAAGTTTTAATTTTTCATAACGCAATCTATCCAGCTATGGCTGGGCAACGATGAAGAACCGGTAAAGGTAAAGGTACTATGTAAATGGTAAATTGTAAATGGTAGGCTTGGACGTACTTCTGCTTCACTTATATGGGATGTCTATGTGCAGTATTCAAAGTCAATGATACAACGGGTTCACGCCAACGAATTGTCTAATTATTGCAGTATATCGAAACTATGAGTGTTATATTTGGTTTACATTAATGGAATTCCTATTTGTAGACTTCAAATAGGGTTTGCAGTACATATTCAAAGTCTTAATGTGCCGTCTTGCTCACATAAAATACGTACTCTAACCCAGGCTTGCCTGTATAAACATGAAGAGTACTTCGGTTTAGAGTTTTGACATTGTTCAGCCAGTACCCAGTACCCTACATTTTAAACAGTGTTGTACACATAAAGAAAAACTTAAATGATTTTAGCTTCAGGGGTGACCTTCATAGCTGCAACACTCGTGCGGAGCCAAATTGACCTTCCATCCCATCGGCTCAGTAAGACTGCAATAATTAGTTTCCCCACTCTGGCCATAAAGCTAGTCTCAGTGTTGAGATCAGAGGCCTTACCAGTTAAAGCGTTCGTAGCACACATGTCTAGGGAGTTGAAGCACGTGTATATCTAGTGCGGCCTTGCCTTTACTCAACCAGGGAATTTTTTGAAACCCCTGACTCAGTTTAGTCATAGATAAAACATAGTCATGATCCACCGCCTTGTATATAGTGTATATAGTCAAAGTTTTAATTTTTCATAACGCAATCTATCTAGCTATGGCTGGGCAACGATGAAGAACCGGTAAAGGTAAAGGTACTATGTAAATGGTAAATTTGTAAATGGTAGGCTTGGACGTACTTCTGCTTCACTTATATGGGATGTCTATGTCTATGTGCAGTATTCAAAGTCAATGATACAACGGGTTCACGCCAACGAATTGTCTAATTATTGCAGTATATCGAAACTATGAGTGTTATATTTGGTTTACATTAATGGTATTCCTATTTGTAGACTTCAAATAGGGTTTGCAGTACATATTCAAAGTCTTAATGTGCCGTCTTGCTCACATAAAATACTGTAAAAGTTATTTTTATTTACAGTATCCAAACGCAATATGCCTAATTCCGGATTCCGGCAACCCCTATATTATTGGTTATTCATTTTGTAGTAAATTATGCTCAATGCTATTAATACGATTGTTCTCCCCGTTTCCTCTGTACGGTTTGTAGTCACTAGTCAGCTATTTCAGACGATTCGTTGACTAACAAGTTTCGACTCTTGTTTCCCTTTAACAGGAAAGTACCCTTTTGTTTTAGTAGTTATCTCGAAAATAATGCCATGGCAACCAACTAACCTATTTTAAGAGCCCATGTTAAATTTCTAAAAGTTTAAATTCACGTAGGGAAAAGTCCTGTGGTCCGATTATTACCAATTCAGATTTACCTAACTAGCTGTACCCGCGGGCTTTGCCCCGTTTAACTTCATAAGTGAGCTCGTTCGCATAGCTCAATCAGGTCCTGGTTGAAGTTCGTTCGCTACGCTCACTCACCTTTAGGTTGGAGTTCGTTCGCTGCGCTCACTTGCCTTCAGGTTAGCTCGTTCGCTACGCTAACTCGCCTCCAGGTTGAAGTTCGTTCGCTACGCTCACTCACCTTTTCATTAGCTGTTGTCATAAATATAAAAGAAATAATAGTGCTGCACCCTGTTGGTAATCCTTGTAACTTTAATGCTATTGAACATCATAGAACAGAACCAACTTGTTTAATTGAAACAGCTGTTAAGATTCATTAATTCCATTTAAATATGAGAACTCATAAGGTTAACATGGGAAACTCCAGAGCCACTGGGGCGGAGCCCTTGAGTCCGATCAGAATAAAAACAGCTTAGTTCTCCTATTTAATGCCTAAATAATCAGTGTACCAAATTTCAGCCTCCTAGGTAAATGGGAAGTAAGAGAAATAGTGATGAGTGAGTGAGTGAGTCAGTCAGTCAGTGAGGGCTTTGCCTTTTATATATTTAGATACCTTCTCATATGGTTGGTTACTATGACCAAAGATTACATGCTACGCAGTGTAAGTAGTACGACAGTGTAAGTAAAGGAGCTGATAGTCGACATCGTTTTCATCAGTGGATTTGACAGTTCTGAGGCTTCATAAACCTCTGTCTCGGGTGGTTAGCTAGACCGGGTGTGTCGAGTTTTTTGTTTATATGGTGGTTGAGCACTACCTCTTTACATCCGCAAATTCATTCTTCAAACGAGAAAGTGTAAAAAGTGCTTTAAAGTGTCCGGCATCAATGGAGTTATAAAATAATTTGAAAACGAAATGTAAATGTGTTTGGTACAAAAAATGTCTACTGATATGTTACATATTCCTCTAAATATTTCAATAAATCGATATTTTACCAAACGTTTATAAAACATAATTTCAAGTAGCCTATTGCTGTAGGAGATATAAAAATCTTCAGTTTTGTATACCATTCCCTCTCTCTGTGCAGCAAACCTGATTGTAGACGGCGGAGCGGAAATTATAGTTTTACCCTCAAAAAATTCCTATTACAAGTGCGATTTTCTGTAGTATTATGTGTATTGATCAACATACTAAAAGTTTACCAAAGTTTGACCACCGGAAATGCCTTGAAGGCCGCGACGTTCGAACTGGCAACGCCGCACTCACCCGCCGCCTGAGTCCGACACTCGTGCTAGGCTATAAACAAACATCAATGAGAGTATTGCTGCTCTGTATCAATGAATCAAAGTATTTAAATTACATATTTATATAATGGATTTTAGGGTATGGTAAAATAAACAAATTAGAATCTATGTTTTTTATTTAGTGAAAAATTGCAACATACCACAATATGTCTGAAACTAAAAATACTAACATAATGTTTTTGGTTGCATTTATCGTACTGTAAGTACGCTAAATGTGGAAATTTATGGACTTTACATATTTCCTTTGTTAATTTGATAATCTATACTATTATATAACAATCTCATGGTGTCTGTATATATGTGTGTTATTCAATACAGGCCCGTTTTTGACCCTGTCAGCGCCCTAGGCACATCTAATAATAGTAGCGCCCCTTTGCAATATATATAACAGGGTGTACACCGACCAGGAATCATGCGGGAGATTTTTAAACCTTGAATTTTGTGTTTCTACCTGGAGTTTTCAATTTACCGTGATCGCACATGACAACAGTGACGTTTCCGTGACCGCGGGAGACGATAATATGTCTACACACGGCCGCGAGGGATGATCAGAATATTGCCGCGATCACGGAAGACGATGATAATGTCCACACGACCGCGGGAAACAGCAAGAATTTTGCCGCGATCGTAGAAGACGATGATGATCTCCACACGACTGGAGGACATTATTAACATTTGACCGCAATCGCGGGAGACGATAACGATGTCTTCACAACTGCGGGAAACGATTACGATGTCTACAGAACCGCGGAATACAATAATTATTTCTACACGGCCACGAGGGGCCGTGGTTTCTATGATAATGT